ACTACTACTACACACACACACACACACACACACACACACACACACACACACACACACACACACTTCTGAAGGAGACCTAATTAGGACAGTCAGAGTCAGCTAGCAAACTGCTATATGAGTCATAAACCACTTTTCTCTAGATGAGGTGATAAGAAGACCATATAAAATAATAGATTGGTATATTCTCTTAAGGTTTTTAAATATGTCAACCTCCTAGCTCTGAGAGTCAGACTAGGTTTTAGGGACATACTTGGTAAATTAGCTTGGAATGTTATTGGAGACACAAACGATTCTAGCATACAACTATTTCAGTGATTAGAATTAGCCAAAAATCAAAGGTGTCTAAATATGAAAGTAGGCTGTCTCCTTTTTATTGGTTAAGGCAGGGAATGTGGTGCCAGGAGTCCTGGGTTCTAGTCTTTGCTTAGAAGTGAATGGGATGAAATAGACCATTCTGTTTACTCCATTCTAGGTAGTGTTGTTGTCGTTACTGTATAGCCCCATTGTTAGTGAACACTGCAGTTGGAATGTTGTACCATTTCTGCCCTTTACGCTTTAAATAAGAACAAATAATGGATCTGGCTGGAAACTGGAATACCCATTGTGCAACAATTCAATTAAAAAAAATGTTCCTAAACAGAATGAAAAATAAATTTTTGAAATTTCCTGTGGAACAGGAATTCCAAAATTTTGTTTTGAAAAAGTAAAAATATTTGCTTCATCCCTTAAAAAAATATTTCTGAGACCCTTTGACCTGCCCCAAACCTTGTCAGCCTGCCAGATAAGGAGCTGAGCACTTTGCTGGGAAGCCAGGAGCTTGGAAACTCAGAAAGCTCCAGCTCTGGGATAGTCTTCCTGGCAAGCTGACCTGGAAGACTGGGGACTCTAGTTTGCTGGGTAGCCATGAGTTTGGGAGCTTGGGATCCAGGCCTCCCAGGCAGCTCACCTGGGAGCATAGGCTGCTGAGGACCCAGGAGCTGGCTACCAGGCTCTCAGCTGCCTGTCAGCGCATCAGGCAAGCTGCAGAGAATATGGGTGAGCAAGCTGGCAGGAAATCAGGTAGGTTTCAGATGGAAACCTGCCTGATTTCCACTGGAGTATTGTCAAAATTGACACATTATCACAGAACATTTCAATTTTGAATAATCTGCATTTTCCGACAGAAAAATGTGTTGTTGGAAATTTCCAACCAGCTCTAATAAATAGCATAAAACTGAAGCCAGATGTGGTTTGTATCCGCCCCTCACCTTTCAGGTCTTCTGCTTAGAGCTGTAATAAGACAAACATAAAGATAAATTATAACACCTTCAGCCTCACCTGGAAACGAAGAGCAGCATAAAGGAAAACCGATTCTCTTTGGTCTTTCCGTCTTTCCCTGTAAGCTTGAACAATGAGATACTAAGTTAAAGACAGGCAGATTACACAAAGGAATCTAATGGCTAAAAACATATCAATCTTGTGAGATTAATGAAACTGGTAGCACTGAAATTTTACCTCTGCAGATTGCAGCACAAAGAATACTCCAAATTCCAAGTCCAATCTGACCTCGGCCAATGGGCAGTAAACATGGTAGGTCTTAAATTTTGCTACTTTCAAAGCATATGCACAATTGTCACATTACCCTATGCCCCTGTCATAGTGTCTGAAGGTTTAATGTTCAGGTCAGCTAACCTTTGGCACTTTACACATCACCTTCCATCTGTGGATTGCAAAGTAATCTACATACATTAAAAAGCTGAGCCTCACAATAACTCTGTGGGGTTCTGTAGCTCAGTTACTAGAGCTTTGCAAAACATGGTGGTTTCACTAACCAGAGATTCGTGCAGACATTTGTTCAGTTTAAACCAGGTATTTCACATGATTTCAATGCCACATTCATATGAACCCTTATTGAATCTTTAGACAATCCTGGTCTGAGTTATTAGTTTGTAGCACAAATGACATGATTTGGAGGTTTCATTGAGTTGTACTGGGAGTTGTGCTGGGTGATTTAACCTGTATGATTCTATGATTAAATTGAGACACAGAGAAGTTATGTGAGTTCCCCAAGGTCACAGTGAATGCCAGATTCAGGATTACAGCCCCGGTGATCTGTCTCCGACAACACAGCCCCTGAGAGAACTATCAAAGAAAAGAATTCTCAATAGACTCATAGACTTTAAGGTCAGACGGGACCATTGTGATCATCTAGTCTGATCTCACCCAGTGCTGAAATAGAACCCTAACTTCGGACTGAGTTACTGGAGTCCTGGCATCATGGTTTTAAAACTTCAAGTTACAGAGAATTCACCATTTACACTAGTTTAAACCAACCAAGGTCAATAATAAAAATGTTAAACAAGATTGGTCCCAAAACTGATCCCTGAGGAACTCCACTAGTAACCTCCCTCCAACCCGATAGTTCACCTTTCAGTATGACCCATTGTAGTCACCCCTTTAACCAATTCCTTATCCACCTTTCAATTCTCATATTAATCCCCATCTTCTCCAATTTAATGAATAATTTCCCATGTGAAACTAGTGCTTTACTGAAATCCAGGTAGATTAGATCTACTGCATTTCCTTTGTCTAAAAAATCATTTATCTTCTCAAAGGAGGAGATCAGGTTGGTCTGGCATGATATACTTTGTGTAAAACCATGTTGTATTTTATCCCAATTACTGTTCACCTCTATGTCCTTAATTCTTTCTCTTTCAAAATTTGTTCCAAGACCTTGCATACAGTTGAGGTCAAATTAACAGGCCTATAGCTTCCTATTTCATTTTTCCTCATTCTTAAATATAGGAACTATATTAGCAATTCTCCAGTCATAGGGTACAACCCTGGAGTTTCAAATTTATTAAAAATCCTTGCTATTGGGCTTGCAATTTCATGTGCCAGTTTCTTTAATATTCTAGGATGGAGATTATCTGGGCCCCCTGATTTAGTCCCATTAAGCTGTTTCAATTTGACTTCCACCTTGGATGTGGTAGTTTCTACCTTTATATCCTCAGTGCCATTAGCCACCCTGCCACTACCCTTAAATTCTTCATTAGCCTCATTAAAAACCGAGGCAAAGTATTTATTTAGGTGTTGGGCCATGCCTAGATAATCCTTTATCTCTACCCCTTGCACAGTGTTTAGAGGTCCTACTTCTTCTATAGCCATATAAATAGGAAGAAAATGAGGAAAGAACCTTTTATTATTGGTTTTAATTCTCTTTGCAAGGTCCAACTGTGCTTGGCTTTTGGCAGTTCTCACTTTATCCCTACACTTTCTGACCTCCAAGAGGTAGCTTTCCTTGCTGATCCTTCCCATCTTCCATTCCTTGTAAGCATTCTGCTTTCTTTCATCGCCTGTTTGAGATGCTTGATCATCCAACTTCATTTGCAACCCTTCCCTATGATATTTTTCCCCTTGCTTGGGATGCGGGCTTCAGATAATTTCTGCAACTGTGACTTAAAGTAATTCCAAGCATCCTCCACATTCAGATCCTTGAGTTCTTTGGTTCAGTCCACGTCCTTAAGTAATTCCCGTAATTTTTTAAAGTTAGCTCTTTTGAAATCAAAGACCCTTGTTGCAGATCTATTTTTATTTATCCTTTCATTTAGTTTCGACTGAATTAGCTCATGATCACTTGAACCAAGGTTGTCTTCTACAACCAGTTCTTTTATGAGGTCTTCACTGCTCACCAATACCAAATATAAAATGGCATCACCTCTTGTTGGTTCAGCAACTATTTGGTGAATAAATCTGTCAGCCATCACATCCAGGAAAATCTGGCACCTACTATTGTGAGTAGCACTTGTCTTCCAATCTATATCTGGGAAGTTAAAGTCTCCCATAATCACACAATTCCCTGTAGCATTTATTTAATTAAAAAAAAATTGCAGAGGTCTCTATCCATATCCAATTTGGATGCTGGTGGTCTGTAACATGCCTCAAGCACTATATCGGGAACAGGGCCAGCTCCAGGCACCAGCCAACCAAGCACGTGCTTGGAGCGGCACCTTGGGGCAGGGCGGCGCTTGAGTTTTTATTTTATTTTTATTTTATTTTTTTGATTTGGCGGTGTGGCGCTTGGTGGGGCGGGGGCTTCGGGCGGTGCTCAGGGGGCGGGGCTTCGGGTGGCGCGGTGCTAAGAGGGGGCGGCGGGGCTTTGGGCGGCGTGGTGCTCGGAGGTGGGGTGGGAGCTTCGGGCGGCGCGGTGCTTGGAGGGGCGGGGCTTCAGGGGGCGTAGTGCTGGGGAGCGGGGATTTCGGCGGCGCTCGTTGGGGGGCGGGTACGGCGGGGCAGCGCTCTTCTTTTTTGCCTGGGGCAGCAAAAAAGTTAGAGCCGGCCCTGATCAGGAACCTGTAGTAGCTTTCTTCCCCAAAGTGATTTTGGCCCAAACAGACTCTGTTTTATCCATTCCATCACTTCTAATTTAATTACTGTCTACCTCATCATTTAAATACCATGATACTCCACCACCTTTGCCTTTATTTCTGTCTTTCCTGAACAGCACATACCCTTCAGTACCTGTACTCTAGTCATGACTACTACTCCACCATGTGTCTGTTATCTCTTTAATATTTAGTTTCACTTACTGCACCAGTAGTGCTAGTTCTTCGATTGTTAGTTCTTTGCATATGTGTACAAACATCTTACCTATTGCTGCTTGGCTTTGTTCAAATTCTTTGCCTGATTCAGTAAAGTCATTCTACTGCCGGTATTGCCTATCTGACTGGTATCAACACTATCCTTCCTCTTAATGTCCATTCTTCATTGCTGTATACATTCTTATTTGATTTCCTCCCTCTCAGTGTTAAAATTAGGCATGGAGATTATATGAGCCTCTCCCAACAGTTTCTTCTGAGTTCCTAGTTTAAAGCTCTTTTAATGAGTTGTTCCAACCTCCATCCCAGAAGTCTATTTCCCTCCCTACTCAGGTGGAGTCCATCTCATGAAACTGTCCTCTGTCCATGAATGCCTCCCAGTAGCCAAAACTTTCCTTATATCACCACTAAAACTTTCCTTATAGCACCACTGCCTGAGCTATCTATTGATCATAATAATCTTGTCTCACCTTTGTTCTCCTCCTCTAGGGAACCTGAACCTCCATTTCCTTAAGCATCTTCCCCAGCCTGACATAGTCTCCCTTGATATATTTCGGTGAGAATCTAGCTGTGTCATTTGTTCCCACATGGAGGACAAACAGTGAGTTCTTTCCTGCTCCCATTAGGATCCTCTTCAGCCTCAGGTCCACATCCTGTATTTTAGTTCCCAGCAGACCACACACCTTTTTGTTCTCCAGATCAGCTCTGGTGACAAGCCTATCTGTTGTTCTTAGTAGGGAGTCCCTAGTCACATAGACCAGCTTTTTCCAGTGATGGTGTATTCCATATTTTGTTTCTTCTGTTCTTTCTGGCTGTCAGTTCTCATGTCTTTTATTCTCCTTTACAATTTTCTGCAAGTCATTCTGTACCCTCCTGAGCTTTGAACTATGCGTATTTCCATTGGCTCTTCCCCTCTTCTTACAGAACTAGCTGCTCTTCTCTTCTTCCTTGTCCTCCCTCCTTCATTTGCAGACTTTCTTCATTATCCAACAAAGTAAACCTGTTCCTGAGCATTATTTCTTCTTCACTGGCTTCTCTTTTCCTCTGTCTGGTTCTTGTAGTCACATGCTTCCAACACTGACCACTTTCCTCACCCAGCAGTCTCCAGTCCCTGAGTTCTTCAGTCCAGCTTGCACCTGCAAGAAGTCTTGACTTTTTCCCTTCAGCCTCCTCTTGCCTTTGCTCCATCATCTGCTTGAAACCCCTTTGAAACTCCACCATAGTTTCTACCTGCATCTTCAAGTCTCAGACCTTCTCTTCCATCAGCTCTATCAGGTAACACTCCTAACAAATGAAGCTCTTTTCAGGTACCCACTCTAGCATTATGTACAGTTTACAGCTTCCACATCCTGTCATATTCATTGTCTCTTCCATGGCTTTGGTCACTACCACTACTGCCTCTGTACCTGTCACAGCCTTCCTGCCTGAATTCCTGACAAGGGAGAAAAACAAAACCCACAACAGACCCAAACAAACACCGAAAGAAAACCAGAACACACACACCCCTGCAAGTCCCACTCAAATGCCCCTGTTCACTGCTCTGTTTGCTGCTCCTCTGCCACTGGCTGACTGTTTGGATGTCTTTATAGTTCCCCTAATCAGGCAAGCCCCACGTCCTAATCAGGGCTCTGTTTCTATCACAGTACACTGCCCCTACCTCCCTCTACAAACTGAACAAGGCGAGAAAAAAAGCCACCGACAAAAAACAGACCCACACAACACCCACAAAAATAGACTATGCATCCTATCTTGATCCATCTGCCCACACCAAGTTGAAGGCTCCTTCTGGCACATTGAGTTATATTTAGGGAAGCAAAATTCTCAGAGAGTAATATCCCTGGGCTCCAGACATTTAATAATACATTGCATGCATCCACCACACTTCTTTTTCTTCCAAAGATCTCAGAGTGTTTTACAAAGCTGGGTGAGCCCATTTTTACTGACAGTGGTAGTGTAACTAAAGCACAGAAATAAAGTGACTCGCACAAGGTCACAGAGCAAGTTAGTGATTGAGTTGGAACAGAACCCAGGATCCCTGGTTCCCAAACATGTGTGTAATCCAGTAGGTTATGCCTTGCAGCAAGGCTTCAATATAAAGAAAGGATTCAGCACATGCCTTTCAAGGATATAATTCAAAGCACACAATAGTATGGAACTACTGAATACAGAATTACAGAGATGGAGGGGAGGAAAATTATTGGGTCTTCTAGTCTGTCTTTCAGCAAATACAGGATTGTTTCCGGTGCATTTGACAGTGCTTTGCCCAGTCTGCCTTTAACTGTTGATCTTCTCAAATGGCAAACAAATGAAATGATCAAAACGTGGGTCTCATATTTGTGGTGTACTCGCATCCCACCAACGCAGTCCTTTTTAACACTGAATTTCAATACCACTCAGGATACCTTAGCATTCCCCTTTTCAAACCCAAACCACTATCCACACTGGCTGGAATGAGTATATTCAGCTGATAAACTAAAACCCCACATACCTCACACCAGGAATTGGAAGTGGCTGCTAGCTTTGCTGCATGTTGTCATGTGGTGGTGGTGTTGTTGACAGATGACACCTTCTATTACATCCTTTGAGTCCAGCTTCTATCCCTTGCCGCTAAAAACAATAGCAACAAAACAACAAGCAACCCCCCCACCCCACCTGCCCCACAAAAAAACTCACTAATTCTGATTTACTGGTATCAGCCACGAACACAGTTTGAGAAATAATTCTGTCTCTTTCTTTCTAAAGACCTTTACATGTATTTACATCTTCAATGATACCCAAGGTCAGATGACTCTCTGCAGGCTGCTCCTTGACAGTCTTTTTTTCCAGCAATTTTGACAGCTGAGTGGAGAGCAGAGATGCTTAGCCCTCACAACTGTAATTTGAAGTGTTAATTGGGAAACACCTCGGTGACCTTGGGATCCCTTGTCTCCCACAATTTGTGACAGTATGGCCCAAAGCAATCCCCGTGGAAGCAGATTAGAGGGTAGAGTGGGGAAAAAGCAATGGAGCACTTAACAATATGCTCATCTTTTACTAGCAGTTTGACTTACATTTGCATGAAGGAAATAATAAATGAGATGTAGCCGTGCTGATAATGCCAATAAACTAAGGGCTAGATCTTACCCTTTGCAAGAGGTGGGGTTGCCAAGTGACAAGGTTGCAGCTAATATCTGTGGATTCTTTTGGGTTGCCCACAGATCACAGCTCATCCCACCCTTCTATGCCCACTTCAAACAATTCATACCTGTGAGTCACCTGCTTCACCCCCCATCTGTAATAAAGGTGTGACACACAGGAGTGCTAGTAAGAGCTTGTAACCATGCCTTACTGAGTCATAACTGAGAATGCCAAATTCAGGACAAATTGCTGAGAAATAGGGCAAACACAGCCCAAAATTGGTGATTATTCTTTTATAAGATATATCAAACCAGCCACAAAAATAAACTCCTGTTTCACCATGTTGGCCAACAAGAAAACATAAAGGCAGTTTCCTCAGGTATTCCAGTTCTTATATCACCACCAAAACCACTGGACTCAGAGATGAGTGGTTCTTTACAACCCGTTTCATCAAATAATAGGTTCTTCTGATCCCAAAGTCACCCAGGTCAATATAAAACTTAGATCTTACCCAACAATCACACTGATGCCAATCCTTTAGTATCTAAAATTTAAAGGTTTATTTATAGAAAGAAAGAAAGAAAGAAAGAAAGAAAGAAAGAAAGAAAGAAAGAAAGAAAGAAAGAAAGAAGTGAGAATTAAAATTAGTTAAAGGAATCAATTACATACAGTAATGGCAAAGTTCTTGGTTCAGGCTTGTAGCAGTGATGGAATAAACTGCTGGCAAGACTCTGGAATACATCCACAGCTTGGATGAGTCATTCAGTCCATTGTTCAGAGCTCCAATTTGTAGCAAAGTTCCTCCAAAGGTAAGAAGCAGTATTGAAGACAAATTGGATGTGTTTCCAGGGCCTTTTATAGCTTTTGCCATGTGGAGGGCATCCCATTGTTCTTACCATGGAAAATTACAGCAACAAGATGGAGTTTGGAGTCATGTGGGCAAGTCACGTGACCATGCATTTCACCTAATCAGAGCAGGAAATTTCATTAAGTGTAGATAGGCATCTCCCATGGTCCACTGTTAGTTAAATGTTCCTTTGATGGGCCACTCAATTTGAATAGTCCCTCCAAGATGTGCTGGCTAATTACTTCACGGGTATTACCCCAGGAGCAAACATTTGAAATCCAGGTATAGAGCCAATACTTATAACTTTACAAAAAGGATACATGCATACAGATAGCATAATCATAACCAGCAAATCATAACCTTTTCATGGACACCTCACTCAAGAACCTTTGTACAAGATTTGTTGCAAATATATAACAGTGGTTGCAACAACAATCTATATGTTCAGATAACGTCACAGAGCTTGATCTTTATTTCTTGCCACCGGTCACCTGACATGAGTCCGGGATGCAAAAGGGGATATGGTTAAACTAGACATATTGTGGCTTGCCCCTGGCTTTTTGTATCTTCTTGCTCCACCCTTGCACACGCATGCAAGGGCCAGCTATTCTTTTAACTCTAAATCAGCATGCTAAGCAATGTTGGATTAGACCAGATTCCATCACAGCTGCGTGACAGTAATTCAAGAAGGCGCCTTTAGTAACTCGTGGCAAGATCTCACACTAAAGAAATGAGACCCAGAAGTTTTGAAAAGAGTCCCAGTACCTCCCCTGAGAAGAAGATCAGGATAAGTGAAAACAGGGCAACCTTTGTTCTAGCAGCTCAGTTTCTCATACTCAAAGTTTTGCTCAGATGATTCCACTATAAAAATCCTCCTCGTAGCCCTTCAGCTTTGAAAAGTTTCCCCATTGAGAGAGATGACTTAATCCTGATAAGGTTGGTGGTTTGGTTTTGTTTGGATAAGTGACTGTGTATTCAGGTGCTTATGCAATTCTTGTGAGCCTGTGTGCTTCAGATTTTCTCATGATAAGCTTTATTGTGAGATTTCACATATGTCCTGTTTCAGCAATGGACAGATATTCTATGAAAACATCCTTTCCTGCGATATGGTGTCACTTATGTCTCAAGTCCTGTCAGGGACAAAAAAGTACAGAGAAAAGACACTATGAAAAATTACAATTTTTTACAAAACTACAGAATAGTGACATCCAGGTTCAGTTTGAAAGTCGGATGAAGGTCAAGATCAAGTTTACTCACTATGAACAAGTCCTGGTCCCATTAAAATTTCTAGGAATTTTGCCATTAAGTTCAGTGGAACAATGTCTATTCCTTCTATCACTCAGAGATTTTGAGCAGGAGAGATTTTTCTTAGGAGAAAAATATTCTTAACTAAATAATGTATAGCTCAAACCCATGTTCAGGTTGCTCCCTGAATATAGGCTCACTCCTGCCTGGAGGTAGAAGAAGTTGTATTAGAAGAACTAATTAAGGTTACAGAAGCCACTCAACTTTCTGTGGTTCTACTTGCATCCAGGGGATTTGGTGTGGAGCAGCTAAGGCCTGGTCTACACTAGGCGTTTATGTCGACGTTAGCGCCGTTACATCGAATTAACCCTGCACCCGTCCACACCGCGAAGCTATTTAGTTCGACATAGAGGTCTCTTAAATTCGACTTCTGTACTCCTCCCCGACGAGGGGAGTAGCGCTAAATTTGACATGGCCATGTCGAATTAGGCTAGGTGTGGATGGAAATCGACGCTAATAGCTCCGGGAGCTAACCCAGAGTGCACCACTCTGTTGACGCTCTGGACAGCAGTCCGAGCTCGGATGCTCTGACCAGCCACACAGGAAAAGCCCCGGGAAAATTTGAATTCCTTTTCCCGTCTGGGCTGTTTGAATCTCATTTCCTGTCTGGACATCATGGCGAGCTCAGCAGCACTGGCAACGATGCAGAGCTTTCCAGCAGTGATGGCCGTGCAATCTCAGAATAGAAAGAGGGCCCCAGCATGACTGATCGGGAAGTCTTGGATCTGATCGCTGTGTGGGGCGATGAGTCCGTGCTTTCCGAGCTGCGCG